TTTGTAATATGCCAATCCAAACAATGTCCATAAGAAATGCATGGTGGCCCACATAAGCTCTACCAAGTTCATTTGCCATTTCCTAGAATCATAAAGTGGGAAGAAGACTTCACACCATCAAGTCCAACCCCTGGTCAAAGCAGGAATCCAAAGTAAAGCATCTCAGACCAATGGCTGTCTAGCCTTCACTTAAACACATCCAATCAAGCAGTAAGAGCAATGCAACATTGGTACCAATTACGCCACTTTTCTGGTCTCACTGCTCTTGCTCCATCTCACTGCTCTTACTGTTAGAGAAATTTTTGTTCAAATTCAATCAGAATCTGGTTTCTTGTAACTTAGATCACTTATTCCATGTCCTGAACTCTGCAATGTTAGAGAACAGATCTTGATCTTCTATGTGACCATTTCAGGCATTTGAAGACAGCTAACATTTCTCAGTTGTCTTTGCTCAAGGCTAAACATACCAGTTCCTTAATTCTTTTCTTCATAGAACTTAGTTTGTACTCCCCTAATCATCCACATCACTCTTCTCTGAATCCATTTTAAAAGTTTGGTGCTCAGACGTACTTGAAGTAGGTCTGACCAAAACAGAATGCAATGGAATGATCACTTCCTGTGATTTGGAAAATAACTTTGTTAATACACCCCAACATTGTATTTGTCTTTTTTTACAGCCAAATGACACACCTGTCTCGTATTAAACTTGAAATCAATTACTAATCTAAGATATTTTTCACAAGTACTATTACTAAGCTAGTATTCCCCATCCCATAGTTGTGCTTTTGATGTTTGTTTCCTAACTGAAGAACTTTTCACTGTTAAATGTTGCTCTGTTATTTTCTACACATTTCATTTCTGTCTTCTAAGGTATTAGCTAGTCCACTCAATTTTGTATAATCTGTTAATTTGGTAAGCATTCCCTCTACCTCTTCATTCATCACTGATAAAAGTACTGAAAAGCAGAGAACCCAGGACTGAATTTTGGGATGGCCCACTTGATCTCTCTCTCTCTAATCTGATTGATGACCGCTCTTTCAGTACAATTTTCAAGCTAGCTATATGAACTCTCATGCCATTCAGGCTTCATACAGCTAATCTGCTGATCAGAATGACATGGGATACCTTGTCAAATGTCTTGCTGAAGTATTTGCCTCCTGGTGACAAAACAGAGGAGCTGACTGATACCTGACAGGTCCTACTACATCCTTGATGAGCTGAGAGGCCTAATGGGAAAAAGTTCAGTAGTTCAGCAGTAGAGCATATTTTATCTGAAAAATATCCCCAGTTAAATTCTTAGTATCTTTAGGTAGATCTGGAAAAAAATTGTATCTGAAACCCTGGAGAGTACCTCTAGTCAACGTAAGGCAACTTTCCTCTATCTGCGTTCTCCAGTTGGTTTGGACCACAGCTGCCATCCTTCCTAACCACAGTCCATGCTATTGTAGTGTGATGGAAATTGTACCCCTCAGTATCAAAGACAACAGTCACTTAGTTGGACAGTGATTTGACTCAAAATAAAACAGCTTCCTATGCTGAACAGATCTAGGCATATGACACTGTGTTATACTAAATCACACCACAGGTTCATCTAATCCAATACCATCAGGTATGGTTGGCAGAAAGCCTCCAGCTTAAGTTCTAACTCAGTATTGTTGCCTAACAGCTTCTGGAAGCAATATGTTTTACCCCTGAACTAGAGGTCCCTAGGCATGTTTTCCTTGTACTCCCCCTAAATGAAAGAAAAACTATTGTATCTAATGTCCCTTCTCTTCCTTTAATTCATACCTGGGGATCAATGGGACAACACTACTTTTCCAACCTCAGCTTTCTTTTTTTCCCAGGTACCTTTCCCCTGAATAACTTGAGTAGCATTTCCAGCCTTGCTTTTTATCAGCTGACCTTACGATCTGTCTCAATGACACTTTAGAAGGTTTAGAGTGCATATTGATCAGCTTAAACCTAACTCTTGGGAGCAAAAGACACTTGAAATTGATACCAGTATATCAAGTTTAGAGATTGGGTTCTTGAGATTGTAATGATAAAAAGTCAGGGTAGAAAACAGGTCTCCCCCCTGCCAGCTGATACATCTTTTTCTTTTTAAATATTAGATCACTTAGATGCAATACAGTAATTGCTTCCCCCAGTAAAAGTATCATGGAAACAGAAAGAGGAGTGGGGACATTTTAAAGAAGAAGCAATAAACAGCACAGGAGAAGAGGTCCTATGGGGCTAGTGCTATACTGTGCCATACATGCTCACCCTGTTGACTAGCTGTAATCCTTTTCTTTAATAATGAACTCTGATGGTTAGATGTCTATCATTTGAGAAGTAAAATGGGTTCTCCCCCCCCCCCAAATAATACAGGGAGCAGTTCCTACATATCTGCATGCAGACATATAGCACTCCATAAATGAAAAGGCACATATTTTTAAAAACATAAAAAGACAATATCTGATAAGGATCTGGAAGTAGGATCCAAGGATGTAGGGAATGTTAAATAGTCAACTAAAAGGAGGAGACAAAGAGAGATCCAGAGAGGGCCCCTTCAGGCCACAAACAGCTTAAAGCAACCTTCCTCAACCAAGAAGTCTTCAGATATTAGACCACTGTGCCCATTTCCTCTAGCTAATATACCCAATGAATATGCCCACCAGTATGTAGGCCACCCTGTGGATAATAATGGCTTAAAAGATGTATCCTGGAATGATGTATTACATTATGCTATTAATAACTACAACACAGAGATTAGCATCACCCCAAGAGGGTCTGCTAAAGTATCTGGCAGGATTATTGCAGGATATCCATTAACTGTGATGCATTTCACTGAACTGTTGTTATGGAGGCTTCTAATACAAAGTAGTGAGAACCTGTGCTCTAGAGTAGCTCCATTTATAATTCCTGTTTTACCAGTCATATTACTTTGTAGCTGTTAAACAGTGATGCTTCCCAGATATTTAGGAATCTTTCCTCCCCACCCTCCACTAACTGGGGCATTTATTTCATGTTATTATTTAAAATGCTTTTAGTGGCTTTTCAGTGCTACAACTTCACCAAGCAATGCACAAAAGAGAGTACTGTTGGACAACAGATGACAGTCATTAGCACAAAGAAAGTTTTGAAAAACAAATTTAAATTTGCAGGCCAACCATCAATTTGACTGGAGGAAGTTTTAAACAGAAATAAATATATTTCTGCAGCTCACCTAAACTTCTGAACTGAAAGGGATAGACCGCAGGACTTTTTCAGTGATGGCTCCAACACTGTTTCTTGTACATGTCAATCTAACAAATCTTAGTGATAGGCATTCATAAAGTATCCTCTACATAATTCTGAATGTATAGGCAAGATTATATAAGAAAATATTATACCCTTCAAATAGTCCTATCTCAAGTCATTTGGGACTTCTTTATTAACATTAGCACTTCTGAATTAGAATCAGCTTACTAGAAGCCAGTACAGTTGGTGCACAATCTGAATTGTTTCCCAACTTTCTGCAACTTGCCAACATCAGAAAAGTTGCACTCTGAAGTTACAAAGGCACCGCCTATTAAAATACTTTGCTATTGTCTAGTTTGCAATTAATGAAGAGATTATCCAAGCCGTGCTCAATTGTTTCACACAGAGCTGCAACTACTGTTCAAGCCGAAGCTTGTAAAAATATCTTCTGGCCACAGCAGTTTTTTTGCGACTCACCAGGCAGTGAGCCTACAAGCATTCAGCCTGATCTTTCCATGGCAATGCAACTTCATCCAAGACTGATTTCATACTCCTATCCGAATCGGCCGGATTTCCAGTCCATAGAACCTCCTCTTTCTTGGATTAACAATTTTCATATCTTTCTCCATCTTCCTTCTGAGTACTGATCCACCAGGTCTCTCATTTAGGCTGAGGAGTAGTACCTGCATTTTGGTAAGAAAGCTCAAACTTCCAATTTATATTTCAGAGTGATTTACTATGGATCTGGAAGAACACAGGGGAACAGTTATGGGGGGCGGATGAGAAATGCAACCAATACCACCTTCAGGAGCCAAACACTGAGAGAAGACTATGATTCTAAACCTGTAAGTTCCTGATTTTTCCCCCCCCAATATAGCCTAACTAAGGAGGCAAGTTTGCTATCCAGATCTATGAAGCAAGGTTAGTGATAAACAACATTATATAGCATACTTTTTGTAAGTCCTCAAGACTATTCATGTACATTTAATTCAATATTTGTTACGAGAATCCTTCAGGGCAGCATTCTGTAACTTGACATCCTGCAAATGTAATTGGTTTGCAACTCCAGGAAGTCTTAGCTACCAGGGCCATAGGCAGCACCAGCACAACTGAAAAGGAGCTGCCTGAGGAAGGCTGCCCTAGGATACTACTTTATATAGCCCACAGAACAGGTATCGTGAGCTGAGACAAGAATACTGACTTGGTTACAACCATGGTCCACCTGAGACTTATATGGGTTGCCTTCCTGGCTCAATTTCAGTCTCTTCCCAAGAAAATGCAGTAGCAAGCATTCTGTTCAAGTTCATTTTTCACCAGAGAGATGGCTTGCAAGCAGAAATCTTGAGCAGATGCTTTCATTTCATGAAATGCTGATGCTGAGTCCAATATGAAGAGTAAAGAGAGTGTAATGCTTAAGGGAAAGAGCGACTGGAGCGGTCGTCTGAATGAACTTAAGAATGCCCGGGAAAGAATAAATACGTAAAGATGTCGCTACGCCTCACTTTCGCGAGTGTTTTAGAGAGAGAGGTTCCCGGAGAAAGGAAAACCCAAGACTTTTCTAGTACGAAGTACAATTTCAAGGCGATCACCTGAAGTCTTCCCAAGGGGAAAGGGGAATTTTATAAAGCCACTATTGGAAAAACAGTTGCGACTCCCTGCCGCAACCTCAAGGGCAGGTGCTCAGACCAGCAGCGCCGGTCTCCGTCGCTCCATCCCGTCCCTCTCCCCGCCCACCTTCCTTCCCGGTGGCAGTGCCCATCGGCTGCTCCCACCAGCCTTACCTTGCAAGGGAAAAGGACTGCCGAGGCCACTTTCTCCATCGCTAAGTTCCTGATGCTGGGGGTCAAGGATCCCCTGCATGTGGGGCAGCAGCTCAGCTTCTGCCGGCATTGGTTGCACACCAAGTGCCCGGCCTGGCACTGCAGGATCGGGGGCAGCACATAGTCGAAGCACACCGGGCACTCGAACAGCGAGGTCAGCTCGTGGTGCTGAGGCGAGACCGGCCCCCCGCTGCTTTCCCCTCCTCCAGGGCTCGAGATCACAGCGGCCCGGCCCTGGGCCCGAGAAAAGTGCGGGCCGGCCGCCGGGGTGTAGACGGGCGGCTCCGTGTGGTTTTGTCGGGGGGGCGGACGCCGGGGG